ATTTTTGAAGTCAGGCAGTCCAAATGACCGCGGAGAGGCCCGCTCACTGTTGCACACATGCGCAGTGGGCATTATTTTACCTCCACAATCCGAATGGCTGTGTACATGCACGTCAATCGGAATGAAGAACGGAATAAACCACCTCTCTCAATCGATTGAAATTTCAATCCGATCAGGCCGAATCGGATCAGAATATTCCGATTGACATGTTTACATGCAGAATTTTCGATCTGATTGGGCGTTCAATCCGATTAAATATGCGCATGTAAACGTGGCTACTGTTGCACTCCAGACATCATAATTTATTCTAAAATCATTTAAAATCTTCAGAAGGGCCGTTGTCGGTACAAGATCTGCTCGGGTGCAAAATTGGCTCGGGGTCCGTCGACTGCCGATGACGTCAAAGTAGTTGATTGGCTGAACCTTAAGGAATTACGTCATGACGTTACGTTGTTATCACGTTACGTTGGTCCAGGCAAATCTTTCTGTTGGAAAGATGAACAACTTTTACAAAGAAATCCATCATTAACTCTTTGAAAATACACTTTTAGCATAGAGCTGCATGTATATTAGGGCTGAACGATTAACTGCATGTGCAATTAAATTGCGATGTGACAAAAGAGATTTTCTAATCGCAAAGGCTGCAATTTGGCAGCGAGTGGTTAGCACAATGCTAATATACATGGAAAAACCCATAGGAATGCTAATGCTAATATCACCGATTACGTTATTACAAATTATGAATTAGAAACGTGCCAAATGATTACATTTGGAGTCTAATGGAAAGTAAAACTACCATCAATCAAATAAGTACAGACAGGTATTTTAGTAAAGCCAGAAAACTTTTAACTCCAGAGTTTTGGCTAGCAGCTATGAGCGTAACTGAACTACGCATGGACAAGACGTCAAAAACTCTAAACACAAAATACTTCAATAAATGGGACACACTTCTTTCCTGCAAAGACAATTTCACAGGTGTTGCTAATACCTATGATCCTTCAAGGGATGTGCTCAAAGAGGAGTTCAACATTATGAATACAATATAGTGTTTTATTTTACAAATACCATTATAAACACAAACTTACGTCTTAAGAAACATTATTTTAATAACGAAACTGCTAAATTCTTTCCAACAGTATAGATGTGTAGTGTTTTTGTCCGAGTGGGTTTGCCGTACTTTGACGTCATCGGTAGTCGAAGGACCCCGAGCCGATCTTGCACCCGATCAGATCTTGTACCGACACCGTCTCAGTGCTGTGGTTCACCCTACAACCAGACTGAAATTTCTCTAGGACATCATTAGTGTTGATAAAATCATTGAGTTGAATTAAAACAAGCTTTTCTAAAATTTTGCTTAAAAATGGTAAGTTGGACACCGGTGGATAATTGTTTAAATCATTAAAATCTAAATTGCTCTTCTTCAGCAGGGGCCTCACCACCGCCCGTTTAAAAGCAGCAGGAAAGACCCCGTCTGAAGGGAGCCATTCATCATAGTTAAAACCTCATCTCTAAAAGAATCATAGACGTGTTTAAAAAACCTTGTGGGAATAGGGTCCAGGACACATGTGGTGGCTCTCACTGAGGAGAAAACTTGATCTAGACTCTCAGCTTCAACCAGGACAGACCTGTCCAGTGTTTCCTCAGGTAGACTCTCTGATGTGTCTAAAACCACGTTACGTTGGGAGGATGTTACATCGGATGGTGTCTACCTTCCCTCTGAAGGGGGCTGCAAACTCCTCACACAGAGTGTTTTAGGGGTTTTCTGGGAAAAATTAGAACCACTATTTAGAATATTAGCAATTGTAGAAAAAAGTACTTTAGAATTATTTCTGTGTTGTTTCTGGAGTCTCTAACTGCTTTATTGTATGATTTTAACTGTTCATTATATATTTGCTTGTGGTCTTGTTTTTTCTCCATCTCCTCTCTGCCACCCTGCAAGTTCTCTTTAGCTGCTTTAGATTTTCATTTCTCCAAGGAGATGTATGTTTTGACTTTAGTTTTTTTTATTTTGGATGGGGCAAGCAAGTCCAGAGTAGATTTGAGTCTACTGTTAAAATCATCGAGAATAAGATCACAGGGGGCAGTTGAATTAATAGGAGGAATCTTTTCAAAAGCTTCCAGAAAACCAGCAGCCACTTCAGGGGTTAGATGGCGTTTCATTACAGTTCTCACAGAGGTCTCCTGCTGAATTATACTGATGATGTTAAAAAAACACACAGAAATGATCAGAGATTGCTAAATCCACGACAGAGGACACACCGGCGGACAACCCATACGTGATGACCAAGTCCAGGGTGTGTCCTCTGTCGTGAGTCGGCTGTGCGACATGTTGAATAAAATCCTTATAGTTCAAGATGTTTAAAAATTCTGTGGCTAAAGGGTCTAAAAGGTTATCTTCATGTAGATTAAAATCACAAGCTAAAGTAATCCTATCGAAGGAGTTGTGCAGAAATGAGAAAAACTCAGAAAATTCTTGAATAAAAAGTGCGCTGTGCTTCGGAGAACTATAAACTGTAACACATAAAATCTGAGGAATGTTAAAAACAGCTGCTCTATTTTCAAAAGTGTTAACATTATGAAATAACAGGCTTTGCAGAAAGGGTAGAAGAACATATAAAAGCGGTTCCACCTCCCTTTTTCCCATTCCTGGTAGAATAAATAAAGTTAAAGTTTGGTGGGGAGGCCTCTGTGAGAACAACAGGAGCATCTGAACTCAACCAGGTCTCTGTTAAAAATAAACCTTGAAGATTCTTGTCTAAAATCAGGTCGTTTGTAATAAAAGTTTTGTTCAGCAGAGAGCGAACATTTAAAAGAGCCATGCTAACAGTGGCTGGGGATGAGGGAACTGTATGACTCTGGACAACTGTTTGAGATGATTAAGGTGGGATCGGCTAGTTTTATGTTTGTGTGATCGCTCTCTGCTGATGACAGGTATGTGAGTGGTTTGAAAAGGTCCAGTCCGATATGTGAGTTACTGTTAAAAACAGACCTGGGTTCATAGGTGCCTGGACCAGGGGGCAGGAAGGTGTGAAGCTGGGGCTGGTGTGTTGGACAAAGGTGGTCGTGGACAGGCCAGGCTCATTAAAAGTGTGCGAGTTCCTTCTCTATTTAAATGGAATCTATCTGGCCCAAACAGATACCTCCTCCCCCAAAAATGTTAAAATTGTCAATAAAAGCAATGCTGTGTTGCACAGTGACAGAGGAAAGCCAATTGTTCAGAGATAAAAACCGGCTAAAACGTTTGATTCTTCTGTCGACGGTGGGGATTGGGCCAGAGATAAAAACACACAGTTGTGTGTTTTTTAAAGGATTAAAAAGGTGGGTAAAATCATGTTTGAGGAGTTCAGACTGCTGCATGCGGGTGTCATTAGTGCCGGCGTGGATGATGATTTTACTCACTGTTGGGTGATTCAGGATGAGGTCTGGGATCTGTTGTGAAATGTCCATGACTGTCGCTCTGGGAAAACAGTGAGTAACGGCTCCACTCATCCTGACGTGTTTGATGATGGAGTCTCTGATGATTAGGGTCCTGGGTGGCGGGTCGGCTGGTTTTGGGTGAGCAGAGGATCCATCCAGGACCTGCTGGATGTTGTGCAGCGGTTCCCTGGGACTGCAGCAATGGAACTTCTGTGCCGAGGGGTCCCTTCGTGGGTTCGGGGTAAAGTTGACGGTTCATCGGCGGGTTCGGGCTGCAGTCCGGGGCTTGATGGGACTCCGGCGCCCCAAGCCTGCCTGGAGGTCCAGCGATGGGTCCATCCACCACGGTTCCGCCGGGCTTGTACAGGATGGAGTCTGTGCGCTGTCGGCCGCGACAAAGGTACGGCCAAGGATGATGTCCACGTCCCGCTCATGGTCCTGGATCTGATTAAGCGTGGAGATCCTCTGCTCAAGCTCCAAAACCTTCTGAGAAAGTTTTTGACATCCGTCACACCCAGGACTGCAGGTGAGTGGAGCCATCAGGAATTAAAAAACAGTCTGAACCCCAGTTAAAATGTCCCCAATAAAAAGAAATTATTAAAAGGAAGCGGAGTTAAAAGTGGTTAAAACCAATCTTTTTAAAAGCAGTTATGGTAAAAAGAAAAGGAATAAAACCATTTAAAACCATTAAAAAATGTCTAAACTTCCATTAAGTCCTGGAGAAAATAGTGGCCATCCAAGTATGTGAGCATTTAAACACTAATGCTCTGTTTGAGGAATTTCAGTCTGGTTTTAGAGAGTATCACAGCACTGAAGCTGCATTAGTGAGAGTTACAAATGATATTCTCATGGCCTCAGATAAGAATCTTGTGTCTGTTCTAGTCTTGTTAGATCTCAGTGCTGCTTGGTTGAGCTATCTCTTTGACGTGTTTGGTCTTACCCAACTTACCTAGTTTCATCATCAATCAAATATTAAAAGATCAAACAGATTGATATATATGGAATATCACATATTATTGATCATTTGTTAAAAGTAACCAATTCTTCATTCATTCATTCATTCATTCATCTATTCACTCATCCATCATCCATTCATCATGTTTATGATAATTTATTTAGCAGACGCTTTTATCCAAAGCGACTTACAGTTTATAACCTGTAGGGCATGTTGTGATCTGTGGGGAAACCGGAGTACCCGGAGGAAACCCACGCATGCATGGGGAGAACACGCAACTCCACGCAGAAAGGCCGCAGCCGAGTTTAGAACCTGCAACCTTCGTGCTGCGAGGCAGCAGTGCTTAACAACTGCGCCACCATGCAGCCCATCATTCGTCCATTTATTCATTCATCCTTCCATCCATTCATCCATCCATCTGTCCATCCATTCATCCATCATTAATCATCCATCTGTCCATCTATTCATTCGTTCATTCATTCATTAATCCATCCATCCATCCATTTAAAGACTGCAAACAGCAAATCTAAATGCAGTGACATAAAATTAGTTGTTAGGATTGAACTTGTAATCCACAAAAATAAACCAATTTTTGAAGACCCGGTACTGTCAGAAACAACTTAAATACCTGTGTCTACTGCTGGGTAGAACATCTTGACAGCCATGTTGGATGCTTGTTCCGCCAGGGAAGTTGGTGAGAATAGTGGTTGATGAGTTTTCTTTATGGATTCCCTTAATTCCCTTAGCTCTTGTTCCCGTCTCAGAGCTTCTTCAATCTCCTTCTCAATAAAATCTGTAGTGATTTTTCCTCTGGACTGCAGCCCAGTGGACTCTAGGCTCTTCCTCCAGGACAGAGAACATGTTTCATGAACACTTGCTGGCATTAGGGAAATAGGAGAATCCATTTTCTTCGATGAATCTAATGCTTCCTGGTCCATCGTAGTAGAAAAGGACATGGTTGGGTTTGTTTGGTAGAACCAGACTTCTTCAGGATGTTTGTGAGGACAACATGGTGGCTGGACTACAACATCTGATTCAGACTCTGATGCTGTCCTTTCTTTTGTTGTCTTGTTCTCATCGTCTGGGTCAGTGTTTCTGCCTATATTCTCTGTTTCCAGTGGAGGATCTGGGCTATCTTGTTCCTGGAGTGGTCCCCATTGCAGAGGTTTCTCACTTATCTGGTTCTCCCTCTGGAATGTGTTGTAGGAGATTAAACTTACTTTGTTCTTCTGATGGAGTCTGACAGGTGTCAGTGGCAGTTGCATGTGTTTGGTATTGATTTCAACAATTTCTCCAGGATCTTTCCTGTGCTTCAGTCCTCGAGACTGGCGCAGATCCTCCTCACGTTCCTGAGATAACCGGATCTCTCTTTCAATGGGAGTTTCTTGGAGCACTCTGGACTTGTTTGTCTGGCTCACTTGAATAATGTTTAATAGGTCGTCATCACTGGTGAAGCTTCCAGCCCCCTCCACCAAGTGCTTTGTAAAACCAGAGTCCAGAACATTGATCTTCTTTCTCAGGTTTTTCTCAGAAACTATCATATCCTTCTGAGAATGAGTTACACCTTTTGGTGCTGCTTTGAATGGCCTTGTGTCATCACTTACATCCATGGAACAGTAAATATCTACCATCCTTGACCCATATGCATCAGGAAATTGTTGCAGGCTTGGGTTCAGATGTATTCTAGCGGACTCAATGGGGCGTGGGATTGATGCCAGACAATCCTGTTCCATCCTTAGAAACTTCTCTCTGGCTGCACCAAAGGTGATCTGCTCCTCGTCAATGGCACCAGTTTGAGTTGAGTGGGGAACTTCTGGTATGGACTTGACATGACCAAAACTCAAACTGGCACCCAAATCCTCTGCTGGGTTCCTTCTGGGAGCTTGGCTACGAATGATCTCCTTGCGAAGCCGTTTTTCCTCATTATTGTCCATTGCTCGAATGCTGCTGTATGACTCTCCTTTGTACTGCAAGTCTCCATTACTCTCTGAAAATAGACTTTCTGGCTTCTTGCTGCTGCTATAGGTCTGTAGTCTGAATCCCTTCTCCTCTTTGAGAGTAGCAAGTTGAGCATGTCGCTGTGGTGACACCATCCACACTTCATTCTTCTCAGCTTCAGGACTTTTGGGATCATCCACAAAAGAGTAGAAACCACAGTGAGAACCAGAGCTGCTGCTTGGGCTGCTGGGTTGCCACTCATCACTGCTGGAGTTCCCATCCTGAGATATGGCAACTCGCTGTACTGAAACCAGCACATCTTGTGAATCATTGCTCTGCTGTGAGACAACCACTGAGGACTCAATACTTTGTTTGTCCAGGTCAGGTGCAGGGCCAGTGATGGACCGTAGGTCTGAGGGTTGCAGCAAGCGAGACAGAGGCTTCAGCACCCATTTTCTAGGGTTACTGTCCATGTCTGCAGGAGACACTGCGTAGCAAACAGAACAGTAGAGGCTGTGATTGAGAAGGATTAACAGAGCCCTGTAGACTCTGTAGAGACAACGACATCGGATGATTGCCTGTCAGACGTTTCTGAAATGACAAAGAGGAGGGTACAATAACCATACTGACAAGGAAGAGGAAAGTTACTATGGTAACAAGAGAGAGGAGTACATTGCTATTAATTTCAATGATAAACATCCTTTGGAGGATTGCCTCTGTAATTTAAATAAACTCATGTATAGAATAACTTTTATTATTGTCACACGAAAAGGTGGTAGCCTAGAAAATTAGACCAACCTTAGAAATAGCAAAAGATTTTGATCTGCAGATCAGTCTAACCACACTCTATTGGTGCCTCAACATGTCTTCCTTCAGCTTGAATAGTTTTGTGTCTTGCCAATATCAGTGCTCTGTTTGTTGGGTGAGTTTAATTCTAGAGCAGACAGAGAAAAACAATAAATATGACAAGGACAGGGACCGCAGCAGCTCGGAAGATAGAGTGGGTTGTCCAGTGATAGGAAGGTTGCAGGTTATATCCAGGCTCACTTCAGAAAATGATGCTGTTGTGTCCTTGGGCAAGACACTTAACCCACCTTACTTACTGATGGTGGTCTGAGGGACATATGGCGCCTGTGTAAGGCAGGCCTCGCCTCTTTGTCAGTGCACCCCAGGGCAGCTGCGTTGAAGCTCTCTTCTGGCACTCGCAGAGCACAGATGCTTCTCTCCTTGCTCCCTTATCTTTTTTTCCCAAGGCTCTTTGTCCTGTCTGCCCACAGAGCGCTTCTCTGCACTTCTCCTGAAAAACCCTATTTTTTAGAAATGGATTTAATTAATTGGTCATTCAACGCGATTGATAAGATTTTTTTCAACAATGAGAACGGAGGAGGGGGCTCCCACTTGCCCGCAAGGGACACACCCGGTGGGATATATGATGGATTTCTGGAAAGAGTGGAAGATCGTATGCCTCTCCCAGCTGTCCATTGAGGACGTCGAAGATGTGTGGATGTTTGCCCTGATGATCACGGGATTTAATCTGATTGGAGTGGGAGGACATCTGGTTTTCTGGAAATTTGGGAAGACGGGAGCGATTGGAGGGTAACCCGCACCCACGGAAAGCACTGTCCGTGTGGAGACCTTACAGACTGGGACGTTACTCGAGGTGAATCGTAAGCTGGACAATGTCCTAGCTGCGATACCGGTGTTAGTGCGCAAAATGGATGTCATCTCGGAGAGGGTCACCGGACGGTGTGGAGATGTTTAAAACCTAAATTGGCTTCACTGGAGGACTTGAATGATCAGTTACAGACTTGAAGGCAGAGAGGAAAATTATCTCTGCCTGACCCAAACAATGTCTTGTTATCCAAATCTGACGCCATGGCAGCCGTGTGATGCCAACAACAAACCACCCCCACGAAGGAATGCAGACAGATGCTGTGAAAACCTGACCTAACCCCCTGCCTTCGGATTGGTGGACCTCAGCCTGGCGAGGTCATCAACCTGCAGGTGTCAATGTGCTCTGCGCTCCTCCCAAGATCTCCCTCCCACCTGTGGCTACAGTGGCTGAGCGCCATACGGGGCTGCTCTCGCTGGGGAAACAGAATATGTTTGAGGCGTTTTTTTTGCTTGGTAAAGCTACGCCCTGCCGGGAGTAACTCTGGTATGCTTTTCTTCCCCTCCCCCAATTTATCCTCATGTAATTCCCTTTTCATCTAAATGAAATAAGTGCCGTTCATGGTCGCTCTCGTGGTCTGCCTGTATCTGTTTTGTCTACATGTGTGTGTGTGTAACTTTGGTCAGGCTGTGCTGCGGAGTCAAGTTCCTATGCTCTGGGTCGCTGGAGCGTTGGCAATAAAGCTTTTTCTGATTCTGATTTCCTGCTATTTCAGCTGTTAACTTTATTTTCTCTCTAAGTGTTTTTCTCCCCAGAAGAAGCTACAACGATGTTCTGCTGAGCTGTGGTGGCCTCATGGAGGGGGCCATCGTCTAGCACACTGCTGCTAACCACTTAAACATTCTCCCTCTCCTGATAATAACTTTTTGTTTTCATTGATGTTGGATGTGCTACTACTAGTTTACCCGTTTAATTATAGATCCACTAGGATAAATACAATAAAGTTTATCTCTCACCAAATAGAATATTTACTAAGACATCACAATATAACTATAGACACATTACTTTGTCTTGTGTGTGTGTGTGTGTGTGTGTGTGTGTGTGTGTGTGTGTGTGTGTGTGTGTGTGTGTGTGTGTGTGTGTGTGTGTGTATGTGTGTGTGTGTGTGTGTGTGTGTGTGTGTGTGTGTGTGTATGTGTGTGTGTGTGTGTGTGTGTGTGTGTGTGTGTGTGTGTGTCACCAGTGAGTCGTGGAGGATGGCTGCTTATACTGAGCCAGGATTCTCTGGAGGTTTCTTCCTGTTAAAAGGGAGTTTTCCTCTCCACTGTCGCTGCATGCTTGCTTAGTATGAGGATTGCTGTAAAGACTCTAACCCTGGCTTTCCACCGGAGCCGTCAGCAGCACGTTACTGCAGCAGCACGTCATAGCTGCTGATAGGAACCGCTGTGGTCAACAGAACCTTTTCCACCGGAGCCGTCAGCAGCGCGAGTCGGCCGCGTCTCAGGAGCAGCATGTCGCGGCCTTTACGCGCCGGATCTATTTTCTATGCGCGACGTCTCTGAAACGGGTCAAGTTTGACATTTTTGGGGAAGGAAAGACAGGAAATCGGACGCGGAAATGGGGAGAAGCTCCCGAGATTTTCAGAATAAAGAACGTACTGCCTTCCGGTTGCTTTACTTTTAAAAACAGTTACTAACTGTGCGTCCCCGTGAGAAGTTATCACCTAGCTAGCGGTCTCCTTTGTTTTTCAGGTCTGTATTGGCGATTATAAAACGGACAGAACATAAAACACAAACCATGTTGTAGTTTTCTCCTGCTTGTTGTTGTGTTTACTGACGAAGTCACTCGTGTGACTTCGTGCTCGGTCGGTGACAGCTGCTCCCCTGCTGCTTCGCCTCTCGTGAGAAGGGCCAAGCAGCAGCTTACGCGAGCAAGACGTGCTGCTGCAGTAACGTGCTGCTGACGGCTCCCGTGGAAACCCGGGGTAACACTAGTCAGTGACTTGATGCGACCTGCTGGGTTCCTTATATAGGAAACTTTTTCTGAAAGGCTTTGTATCTGAACAAAATTGTGAAATCTGGGTGTAAAAGAATTAGTTGTCTGCTGTAAACTAGAGAGTTGATTATTAATAAAACAGCTTCAGACACAATCTGCTGTGTCTACAAACCCTGGCGGAGACCCCAGCACATCCTGACTGTCAGAAGTCGGATGGAACTCACGGCACCGGCATTTCGTAGATTAAACTCTGACATGACCCGCCCAGTCTTGAGATGTCTCCGGGTCACAACAGTAGCTGGAATGCTTGTTAGCATCCAAAGTGGGTGTGGCTCTTGGGAAGCCGTCTGGCTGTGTCAGCTTGCAGCGTGCAAACAGGCTGACTGTATGTCAAAGAGATGTTTCAAGGATGCTTGTTCTGAATTGGCTGGTTCGGAACTCCGCTAGAAACTGAATTACTCGGGAAGTAATTCCTGTTTTATTAAACTACTTAAGTTTGGCAAATCAGAATTTGACACGTTTCTGAGTATTTACCAACATCTCTCAGAAAGCCACGCCTTCCTTTAGATCAGGGGTGCCCAATCCTGGTCCTGGAGGGCCGGTATTCAGCATGTTTTAGTTTTAATTCTGCTTCAACACACCTGATTTCAATTAGCAGGGATTAACAGGCTTCTGCAGAGCTGGATGAGATGCTGCACAGGTGAGTCAACCAGTTAATCAAGTGTGTTGGAGCAGAAAAACCACAAAACCTGCTGGATACCGGCCCTCCAGGACCAGGATTGGGCAACCCTGCTTTAGATAAAAAATGTTTTTAACCTTAATATGTATCTTGTTGTGATGTGTATGAGTGTAAACAGTGATTAACTCGTTAAATCAAACACATAGTGATGTGTGATTTAAATGGATCTTTGTAAGAGCAATATTCATTTCAAATTCATTGATTTAAGCACAGATTATTCAAACATTTGATTTAAACACCTTGTTCATTCATCTCATATGATTATTTAACTTATAAGTTGTAAAGTCTTGAAGGATTTGTGTGGATTCACTTTTATTCAGCATGAGGAATCCAGCATTCTGGGCGGAGAGAGAAGAGCTTTTGCGGGAGACCTTGATAGTTTATTTATGTCTGCATTGAAGAACACTAGGTGAGCAAAAGTTTGCTTTCTGCATCTGAATCCTCCAGCTGGCGTAACCTTAACTTTGCAGCTCTGCATGTATGAAAGGGTACTGTGTCAATTCAATGGTGAAAATGGGCCCTTTTTATTCCTTACATTGGAATGTTTACTATGTGAAGTGCCTTGAGATGAGTCTTGGCGTAACTTGGTGCTAAAGAAATGAACTTGAA